CTTTGCCCTTATGGCGGATGGACACTATGATGTATGGAGTTGCGCGAGATGGGATAATAAATAAGTAGACATTGGTGGAGTTTTAAATTGATGAAAGGAGTTTTTTATTATTTTTTAATGAAGAAGGACAAAACGATTTTGAATAACAAGTTTTTTTTTGTACAAGAGCCTCTAGATACACTTTGAAAAATGTTTCCTTGAAATGAAACAAAATTATAGTTATAATTTTAATTTTCACTTTTTTCATCAAACAAAAGTTCTTATTATAGTTTTCTATTTTTTTTTTTAATTTTTACGTCTAACATAGTTTCCCATTTTAGTTTTTACTTGCTTCTTTAATTTGTGATCTAGGTCAAGTGTCAACGATAAGATACTAATGTAATGTCGTATTTTATTCAGTTTTTTATTTAGCCAAAATTTATTTATTTTTCTTCCTCCATGGTAACCGATGTTAAGATCTGATGCTTTAAGGCAGGCCTGCACAACAAAGAGCCCGCGGGCCGCTTGCGGCGCGCCATTGTTATTTACTTGGCCCTTTGTCCCTTTACAAATTTGGCTCGTCTACGTCAAACTATACATTTTTCAGAATCAAATTGCATTTATTAATTGTTTTGGTATATATCTAATCATGTATGTGGTAAAATAAAAAAAAACTTTACTGAATTAAACTCTGATGTAAGTATTTAAAATAAAACTAATGTTTATTTTATTTAAAAAAATCACTTCTAAAAAAAATCACATTCATTCTTGGCCCTCGTACACCTATGGTTCTTTTGAACTGGTCCTTTAAAAATCTTAGTTGTGCAGGCCTGTTTTAAGGCGTCAAAAGCATCAATTTATAACGATCCTAATAAAATATAACACAAATAATGACATGTAATAAGTAACCTAACTTTGACACTTAACCTAAAATACAAGTTTTTGCTAAAAATATTAATTTGATATAATTTCTCGTTTTTGGGGTAAGATTTTCTTTTTATTTCAATTTCCCCTCTCTATTCTACCTATTTTTTTTAGCTTTTTCACCAAGAGAAGGAAACTCGATAAGCTTCGACAACCTACCTTGGCCGAGAAAACCCCTTTTTTAAAGGAGGTGAAATGTCTGGTGATTATCCTAGATAAGTAACTCATCTGAAACCCCCAATTTAAAAACCATCAACAAAGCCAGATTATCCCTCTGAAACCCCAAAAGAATATGTGGCAAAGCATGAGGAATCAGTCATCAACTGATCTATTCGATTTATCAAACAATGATAAAATCCACGATTACGTAGAGTTCCATCGTTTGCTGGGACAAATGATTTGACTGGACGGCTATAGCATAGCTGGAATCCAGCGGCTTGCGAGCTTTGCCATCAATAGGCAATGTACCAAAGCAAGCCACAGAGACCATGTTGGACTTATCCCCTCTCCACATTTTGTTGGAAAGAAAATCCAGAATGGTTTCCTATATACTCCTGAAGGGGTAACCAATCTAATGAAGATTTGCAATCGGACAACACGGGGCTGATGAGTAAGAATAATAACCACCACATCCTAGGCATGATATCAGACTCGATAGATCTCTGACATCACATAGAAAAGTCATAGAGCATCGTCATTTCAGAGAGAGACGTATGGAGCAGGAGCAATAGAACCCTCTCCTAGGATGAGTATGCGCTGTACACGGACGGATACAAAACTAAAGAAGAACTAAGATAGGGAATTTTCAGCAAAAAACCAAGAGTTGACGTATGAATAAACCTAGGCTTACTGGTCACGATCTTCCATGTAGAAGTGATTGCTATAGAATTAAGAGCGAGAGAGTTAATACATTTTCTCCCCGTAATACAGACTATAAGGATCTTTTCAGATAGCTAGACAGTCCTCAAGTCCTTGACCTCCAATCTAGGTGACTCAAAGCTGGTTTGGAACTGAAGTAATAACCTTGAGTATCTCGGTGCTCAAAACAAAGTTACTTTAATCTTGGTTCCGGGACACGGAAGTATGCAGGGCAATCAAATGCTGACACGCTTGCTAAAAAAGGAACCGATTCTAAGTTTATAGGACCAGAACCATTTCTGGACATTGTAAAGAGGACTGTCAATGGAATGGTCCCAAAATGGACGAAGAGTACAACATTCACGAACTGGATATATAGGCACCTCAGGGCTAATTCATTCGACTGCCTTTATTATCAACACTTTAATTAACGCCTCTGCTCAGATCTGGTAATGTTGGAAAGATTACGGGACTGAAAACAAGACATTGTCGTCTGTGTAACCACATAAGAAGGAAAGGTTCGCATTAAATATCGAACTGTCGATTCTGCAGCGTGGAAGACAAATATGTATAGCACATTTTATGTACCTGCTTAAATATCGGCTTACTGTTGATTTCGTGATTCCCTAATTCATGTCGCTCTCTGCTGACTGCTTGGCTCAGTCTCTTTCTTCCGTCAATACTCGGGTCTTGATTCTGCTCTTTTAATTTGTAAATGAAATCTCTCATGTAAAATTTTTCTTCTCTTAATTTTATTCTCTTTCCATAAGGAATTTCCAACTAATTTAATAATACCTACATCTCAACAAAACACTAACAATCCCGACAATCTTTTTCTATTCTCTAGACAATTGTCTCCAAAATCAACAAAACGTCTCCATATTAATTTTCTACTTCGTTTACTTCATCTTAATTTGGTTTTTAAGAGCCTTCAGTGCTCCAGTATTTTGACAAAAATATGCATTAAAATAATATTTCTAACCTAATAAGTTTTGCTTCCCAATAATTTTCAAATCAGTGCGATATAATAAAGATAATAAACGGTAAGTAATTTATAGTGAATAACTCTGTACAATAAACGAATACTTCAATAAAATTATCTGTTAAAATTAAATGATATTTAATATAAAAATATATTAAATTGGTTTTACATACATTATATTATCTAAATATCGATATAAATGAACAGGATACGAACTGAATCATTTATTACTGAAAAATTTACCCGCTATCGTCTGTTTAAATTCATAATTTACTGCTTCTACTTTGCCAGTGATATTCCGTACCCGTACAGTATAATATTTCTTGTTTACATGGTATTTGCGGTTTTCGTATTGCAACCATAATTTCTCTATAGTGTACATAAGCCATTAATATGTATCAAACCTAACCTCAACCATTTGTTTCAGCTGATTTGTGCAGTACATTCTCTCTTCTGTTCTATGAGATTGCTTCCGGTATACGGAAAGTCGATTTGTAAAGTGGAATTGATTTGCCTTTTAGGTTATCTTGAAAAGGTCAAAAGTACATTACATTTACATAAATAATGAGAAAAATATGGATAGTAAAGATAGGGCCAACAAAGTTCTAAAATTTCTAAAAACAGTATGTTAAAAATGTCACTTCTAAACACATTTTTTTTATAAACAGATTGCATTATTTTGATAAATTTTAGAAAAATTAGTACGTTTCAGAATATGTATGTTATTTGGCTCTTATATCAAAACATGCGTTTTTTTTTAACAATCAATAAAGTCAATTTTAAGCCAATAACCAAAAGCATTTGGTATTTACCATTTGAGATTGATAATTACTACAACATTCAAGTGACCTAGGTTATTAATTTGGTAATATATCCGTGACGTCATAAATCAGCTGTTTTTTTGTCAAAGTTATAACCAAAATTTTGCGATATTTACCTTCTTCCAGAGCTGTTTTTGATTATTGGTTATAGGTAATTGACAGTTATAACTGGAGTGAGTGTTTTGCACTGACTAGTACTATACAAATAAGGTACACTAAAGCCGATTTTGTGTCTTTTTTAAACATTAAAATATAAACATTAAATATAAATCGGGTCGATGGTGTAGCGGTCTAACGCGCTAATATTCATTTATAGGCAAGTTTATGAGTCCGAAACTGCTGGGCTTCGAATCCTAGACCAGACCATGTGGATTTTTAATTAAATTGCATGGTTCGGTTTGGGATTTGATGTGTGCCGTATTAATAGAAAATTCAATTCTATTTATATGACATGCAGATTATAAAATCGCCATACATTATCGTCTCGACGATGGTGGGTGAGGTTTTCCGGGTTATCCTCACCTGTAAGTCAAATGGCACCATCAATCATCCCTAAGTCGCCCCGGAGCGCCACGGCAAATAATAATAATAGCCGTCCCTTCCCCTACACAAGTCGTTCAGTCGACTTCAGGGGTTAAAATTCACTCGTAAGGGGGTGAATTAGGGAGATTATTATTATTATTATTATTATTATTATTATTATTATTATTATTATTATTATTATTATTATTATTATTATTATTATTATTATTATTATTATTATTAATTATTATTATTATTATTATTATTATTATTATTATTATTATTATTATTATTATTATATTCAAAAATGGTAGAAGATTATTGGATGAGTAAAAATTGCAAAGGGAAAGACTTCAGAGACTAATTTCTTCTTTGGATCCTATTCTTTCTTGCAGGACAATAAGCAATATAGTATAAATCAAAATCTAAATTGCTTATTTATAAACACGGCGAAAAAGATAGGTTAAATAGAATTGACATTTTAAAATAAACAAACTTACAACCACGGTTATTACCACTTCGTTTAAGCGATTGCCACTTGTGACGTCAGTATACTAACCCCTTTCATAATAGATAAGAGTTAAAATTGCTTTAAGTGTTATTCCATTATTTATTTAGGATGTACACTTTTTACACTATATTAAATTAACTTAACCATTTAATCCTTGTTTATCTTCTTAGGTTGTATTATCTAGGAGCTTTTATTTCCTTTTTTTTTTTTTTTTTTTGTTAAAGGGAACGCTAGATAACTAGCCTTTTAATCAAACTCTTTTAATATATAGCCTCTAACGTACCTAAACTCATCAGTTTATAACATAATCGTAGGTATGTCAGGCAATATTCCCACATTTCTGCCTTGTTTTTTACGGTATAATCTTTTATCTTCTTGGCCATCGCTTTATTTACAACATGGCTTACTTAGTTCCAGATTTCCTTGCATTTCCTTGTGTTTCCTTGTATTTCCTTGTATTTCTTTGTATTTCCTTGTATTTCTTTGTATTTCCTTGTATTTCTTTGTATTTCTTTGTATTTCCTTGTATTTCCTTGTATTTCCTTGTATTTCCTTGTATTTCTTTGTATTTCTTTGTATTTCCTTGTATTTCCTTGTATTTCCTTGTATTTTCTTGTATTTCCTAATAATTTACTATGTTATTGGTTGTTTTTTCTGTTAATAGGCCTCTAATTACTCCATTGGCGCCATCTCTCCCACATTAAATTTTTCTGTTTCGCAATATGTTTCCCGCCGCAATACGTGCATTCAATTTTTCCAGGGTAATTTTCATTTTATTTATATTTAAAGGAAGCGTGTCCTGTTAGAAATTGTGTTACATTGAAATCCATGATATAAAGTTTGATTTACTTGTCTTTCTTGCCACCTGCTTATAGTAATTTATCTCTTCCACTTTGTAACCCTTTATAAGTTAAATTTTTCTTTTTGGTAAAGCCAGTGTCTTCCTTTTACTATAAGGCAATAGGAGGGATTCCCGTGATAACTTTTCTGTCTGCTGTAGATACTATTCTACATTCTAAGGCTATTTGAAGAGGTGCTTTTCTTTGTGTCCCAGAAATCATGGTTTTGTATTTTTTAACAGTTAAGGCTTCTTGCCATACTGGCGCGCCATACAAAATTATAGAGTATACCATTTCGCATATAATTTGTCAGCTGTTGCAACATTTAGTAAGATTAGTGGTAAAGCCCCCATCTTCCCTCTAACCTTCTTCGTATTCCATCAGCTTCTCGTCCATTGACACTGCAAGATATTTGATTTGTCTTCTTCGGAGCATTAGTAACATAATTTCTTGTTATCAATAAGTATCTCTCGAAATGACTCTTTTACGATATATTTTAGCTCTGCGTCGTCATCAACTTCTACCATGATAGCAAGATCATCGGCGTATGTGTAACTAATCGCTCCTTCTGTGAAACTCAAATATAGTACAGGATAATAGAGGATGTTCCATAGTAAAAGTCCCGGTATGGATCCCTGTGGAACACCCATTGTCATGTCCTTTGTTCTTGATGATCCAGGCTTCTTGAGAGTCTAGTCGGAGAGATAAATCATCAGATACTGAAATATTCCTCTCATCTGCAACTGGCTTATACTATTGATTCATGTGGCTAAATTTAAGGTTATTTTGATATTTAATGCAATGATTGTTGTTGCTTAGGAGCTAAATTGCTTCGACTATCACATGTTGAAGAAGTCTCTGTTAATGAGTTCTGGCCAAATTAGTGATAAAGTAATAGAAATACCTTTGACAAAAGAGTATCGCATTTCTAGTTACAGTTTACACGTGTCTTCTTATTTCAATTGCGCTTTGTTGTTGATAAGCAGCGTTAACTTTATTGAGGTGCGTTTACACGAATACAAGAAGTCGCTTTGAAAAAATTGAGAATACGTTTTACATTTTGTCTACAAATACTAGAACAATTTACTTTCGTACTTTGTAAATAAATTTCCTAGCTGAACATTGGTTTTTAGGATTTTTAGACTTTTTAAAGATAATTTAAAACAGATGCAAATTCGTGAAAAAGATTCTTTGTAAAAAAAATATATTATAACAACAGGCACAGAAAATATTTATTGCATAATTCATAATTTTTTTTTAATAAATATCATTATTTTTACAACTGGACTCTACTTCAGACTGATCACTACTTGCCGTTGTACCTTAATTAATAATAATTGGCTTTAGATCACAAACATCTAATTGCATGTTTTAAGTGTGAAATACATCTTCACTAAAAGACCTTTTTATATTAAAAAAATGTCTTCCTCATTTTACCGAAGTATATAAATAACGTAAGAAAAATCATTTCCTTTTATAACAATAAAAAAGAACACTATAAAAACGTATTCTAAGATCAGGCAATACTATTAAAGCTTGTTGGAATGTTTTATCACAAAATTACGAATAGGCAAAGTTCTCTCCCAACTATTGTCATAGAAAAAGACGGGATGTTATTGGATGATTCACGGCAGGTAGCTGCAGAGTTTAACAGTTTTTTTAAATATGCTCCTGGTCATTTGGTCAGACACAATTATTAAATTTATTACTTAGGATAATAAAAAACAAAAGATCTTCTTGAGCGGGACGTACCATTTTTTGTAATAAAACAAGTATTAGATGTTCTCTTAGAACATTTAACATATTTGGTAAACTCAGCATTTGAGATGGGCAATTTTCCTAAAGCCTTAAAGCTGGGAAAAGTCTTACCATTGCACAAGAAAAATGATCGTAGATAAATAGAAAACTACAGACCTGTTGCTATTCCCTGTAGTCTGTCTAAAATCTTTGAATATGCCTTTCTTGATGGTCTTGTGTCTTTCTTGAGAAGGTACAACATAATAACATGAAATCAGCATGGATTCTTTGCTGAAAAATCATCAATAACTGTTATGCTTCCATTTAACAATAAAATTATTCACCATTTGTAGAAATATAAATGTCCAGCTGCTATCTTTTGTGATCTCAGTAAAGCATTTTTATTGTGTAAACCATGAGTTGCTGCTATTACATATATTGGAGAAATATGGAATCAGAGGCATTGTCTTAAATTGGATCTCAACCTTTTTACGTGCTAGGAAGCAATATATTTCTTTAAAAGGGTTCAATTTTGGGACCCCTATTGTTCATACTGTTTGTAAACAATGTTGACTCATTAATATGTGATAATTATTATGAAAGCTATGCAGACGATTTCTCGGCTATAATTTCAGCTAAAAATACGGATCTACTAAACAGAAAGTGCTCCAACATCACTCAAAAAATGTCAAGTTACTTTAATAGTCTTGATTTATTTTTTAATACCAATAAGACTGAGGTACTTAGATTTCATAACAAGCAACATTACGTTGAGCCCCTAGAGATTAGTTTTGAAAATGTCCGTCTTGATAATATAAATGATAGCATTCGCTTTCTAGGAATCCAAATAGATCAACACCATGATTAGAAAAACCATTGTAGAAGACAAGACTGGTCAAAAAAATTAACTCGCTAAAGTTTCTTTTCATGAATTTACGATCTATACTTGAAGTTCGTCAATTAGTTATGGTGTATTTTGCATAAGTTGACTTACGTCTAAGATACGGTGTATGTTTGTGGGGATATTCAAACTATGCTAAAAATGTTTTCTTTGCTCAAAAAAGAAGCATTTCTAAGATCTTACAAGGGGAGGCTTTTGTCGACAATACTTCAAGGAATATGGCATTTTACCACTTTGTTGTATTTTTATGTTTGAAATGTGCCTACGAGCCCCGTCCAGCTTCAGTTGGCCCACACATAGAATTAGTAATATTTTTGGATTTTTTCGCTCAAGGAGAAAACCAGCCTCTACAGTGTAATATTTAAGACAAAATATACTATTTACGGGAATATAGAAGATATCTGAGTTCAATGTATAGTGCTGTCTCACAAAAAATACATGGTTAAAAAAGTAGTATCCTTGCGTTCATTCTATTAATAGAGTTGATAAATTTGTTAACTCTATGATTCTATTACCCAAGTATTGCTAACGACGAGGGTTAAGGTGGCTATGAAAACAACACTTTTTTGACGGAAATAACAGTGACATAAGTTCCGATTGTAAAACAATTACTTAATAGTCCTATTTGTTGTCAATAATGGGGAGAGGAAAGGCAATTGATGAAAATATTCGATCAATTATCATTAATTTACACAAATCTGAAAAATCAAATGGCGAAATTGGAATACTACTCGGCTTATCCAGATACAGTGTTCGAAATATTGTTCAATTGTACAAATCAAACGGTTTAGGTGCCCAAAAGGCCCGATATGTGAAAAAGTCCAAATTAACATATTAAAACAGAGAATGATAGACGAGCTTTAGCCAGAATTATTAAGTCTAATAGGCGTGCTAACTACGGAGAGTTGAGTGTACTCTGGAGTGAGGCCGTTTGAAGACGTGTTTGTAGGTCTACATGTCATGCAGAAGCCAGAAAACTAGGATTTGGTACATACAAGGTAAGTTTTCTGAGTTCAATCTAATGGTTCAAAAGATAATAATCTTTTTCGTTTGCAAAGGCTAAAGAAAAACCGTTACTGACTCCAAAACAGAAGCGAGACAGGTTGAAATGGGCTAAAGATCATCGAAATTGGGATATGGAGAGGTGAAATATTATACATTGGAGTGACGAATCGCGATTTGAAGTGTGTGTCGGTGATAGCCGGAGCAGAGTTATCCGCCAGAAACATGAAACTTATCATCCTGATTGTCTTAAGCGCAAAGTTAAATTTCCATCTTCGGTAATGGTCTGGGGCTCAATGTCGTCTAGAGGGGTTGGAAAATTAAACTTTATCAACGGAATTGTAAACACAGAAAAATATTTAGACATTCTAGAGGACTCTTTGTTGCCTACTTTGGAAGAGAGTAGGATTTCTGGAAATGACTTCACCTTTTAGCAAGACGGTGCTGCCTGTCACACGTCCAAAAAATCCATAAAATGGCTTTCAGATCATGAAATACCACTCCTAAAATGGGTTTCCTCTAGTCCGGACCTTTCGCCTATCGAGACTTTGTGGCATGAAATGAAAAAGCGGTTAAGAGCCAATCCTGCCAGAACTGTTCCAGAACTTAAGCACAGGCTTCAGAATATTTGGGATAATTTCACTCCAGCGCAGTGTCAGGATTTAGTAAATACTATACCAAAAAGAATTGAAGCAGTTATTAAAAATAAAGGGGACGTTACTCAGTGGTAGAATAAGATATCTTAGAGTTTAAAAAATCATAAATTTCCTTATTTCTAGTTTTTAAGTCCTAATCATTTCCAGTTGTTGTAACTATTTTATTTTTTATGCAAAATGTTTTTAAAATGTTACTTTAAAAATAAAAGTGGACAATTTTACCTCTATAACTCAAATGACCTTCGATACACGGCAATAACTGATATTTAATCAGGTGGGCCAACTGAAGCTGGACGGGGCTCGTATACACTTAAAAACACAAAGAAATGTTTGTAACTAATAGAAATGTACACTGGTATGAAACCAGATAGGCTGAGGATCATATGCACGACTTAATGTAACATCTAATGCGCCAAGTTATTTTTGGCCCAAATTGTAATAAAGGAAAGTAATTTATTTTTTATAAAAAAAAAAAAATTAGACGTAT